CGATAATAAGAGGACGTCAAGATGAGAAATCCTACACCGAAAAATCACTCGGCCGTGAAAGGGCAAACTCTTGGGCTTAGGCGGTAGTCCCTCCTTTCACGCGCTCCTAGCCCCCAGGATTTCGCGCGACCATTTTTTTTCTCGTGAATTTCTTTTGCGTCACGCACGATGTACTAAGCAAAAGAGGGACTACTCGTAGTCTAGGGCAAACAACCATGACAGTTTATCTGGACAGACAGTCTGTCTGTTTTCCCATAATTTATTTATGCACATTCATGGGTCTTATTAAGGGCCGGTACTGGGCAAATTGACTGGTTTTGGGGATGAGTTTGCCTGCCTGGTTTGACCATCTAGAGGAAAGTTTTTCTTATGGTAGAAGTTCAGTTCAAATAGTTTTGCTCACCTGTGATAACCAGTTCTCCTCCTGCTGAAAACCTTAGTGAAACCCCTGCACAGATGATCAAATTATTAGATGAACTCCCATTCTTTGTCCAAGTTTGTCAAAGACAGATGATTAGTCTCTAGCATAAATTCAATTATTGCAAGCTTACCATAGAGTAAATTAGTTTTAAACCATCTTCTTGCCTTTGTTCTTGCAGGTGACTTTCAACCCGCAAGACAACACTCAGCTTTGTGTGGTGGGCAATGGAATCTTCAAGTTGTTCCGCTATAGCGAGGGAAATCTAAAGCAATTTGCTTTCCAGAAAATGGAGCCACAGAACTTTCTGTGCCAGGCATGGGTTTCTGATGAAAGAATCATAGCTGGAACAGATACAGGCAGACTTTTGTTGTTTGAATCTGGAGAACTTAAAAATGAATTCAATGTTCACGGTGGTGCTGCCAATGCATCTGCTCCCACAAGGTAGGGCTTTAGTGATTACAGCTTAAGGTAATATTGTGCACTCTTGGTTGGTTCTGACTGGTTCTGATCAAGTAAACAGTTAATGTTGTTTCTTACGATTATCTCACTGTTTGATGAGGTGTAGAAAAAAAATATAGCTACAGTAATAATAATTTTTAATATATATTAACCCACATGTTAGTAATGTTCTTCCTCGCAAACTATTCATTTTATATTCATTTGATTTATTTATTTATTTATTTTTTTTATGCAACACACAAAAGCTAATTATAATACAGTTGTTTACAGCTCATACTTCTTACATCGGTTGATTTGTTTTCAGCGACTTAAAGAAAAGAAAATTAACTCATCACTGTACAGTACCAGTTAATTAACAATAATAATATTACACTATTTATATTATTGATTCAGCTTTGTACAGCAGGCTCTACTTTACTTTTCATTCTGTTACTTAAGAAAATCAGGTTCATGGACAGAAACATAGTATAAAATAGCTACATGTATGTCAAGGTTTGCACATCCTGAAAAAATTAGCCTACATTTTTCAAGTTAGTCATTTGTAATCCATGTCAGTCTTCTCCATCCTTAACCATCCTTGTTCCTTTACAGTTTATTATTATCTCTTTGATGTTTTTCTATCTTAGTAAACTATTATTTTCAGGTTTCTATCAATTTAATTAAAGTCCTGAGCTCCTTCGATGAACCACTTCAAAGAGGTCATGCTTCTCTAACTTTTTCATTCAAACAATAAAAAAAATAAGTCCTGCCATTCAATCTACTATGCTGAATTTTGTAAATATATGAAGTTTCATATGAGCCCATTGAACTCATGGAAATACGGGCCCCCAAACTTGCCAACTTTTGCAAAGAAATGTATACATACAGGGGTTGATTTCTTTGTAAAAACTGGCAATTTTGGGGTCCCATAATTCCACAAGTTTGCAACAAAACTCTTATGAAAATTTCCTAATTTGCTAAATTCAGTATGATAAATTGATCTATGGGAGTGATTATTATGAAAGACACAAAAAATTGTCACTGTTGCGTGACATCATCAAAGTGGTACATTGTAAGTGTTTTGTTTTCATTACATGCACTTTTAATATTTCGTTCTCATTACACACACTTTATGAGATCCAGTTGAATAACTGCGAGTAATTTTACACGCAATATCTTGTCTACCGTGTGTAACTACAGGCATGTAATTACACACATTTTCGTGTATTTGCATGTAAGGTGTGTGGACGCTGCATGTAATGTGCATGTAGTGCACGCGCTTTACACATATGTAATGCTGCAATCCCTTTGACCGGTACTGTGTATCTTTTTCAGGCAAAGTATGGCCAGTGTTCCTGAAAGTGGCATCAGTCAAGATGCTCTGCCACAGGTGACCTGTATCATTGCTTTCTCAAAAGGCTTCATCTGCTCGGGCGGTGCAGGAACTGTACATCTCTTTGAAAAGACGGAGGAAAAAGACTTCTACAAGAAGGCCCGAGAAATAAAGATTCCAGTTGACACACAAAGCCCCGACCTGCAGGTTTCAGAAAGTCAAGAGATTGTCAATCTGACTGTGAGTCCCTCAGAGGAGACGTTGGTTTGCAGCACGAAGTCAAGTCAGCTGTATTGTATCACCATGTCTACAGCTGATCTTGGAAAGGTAAGAAATGCGTGATATGCCTATTATACATGTGCTACGTACTTGTTTAGTGTTGTTGCATTTGACATGTTACTGACAGTCAGATATATCAAGGAGTGTGCTGTTACATGTAAATGTACACCAAGGCTGTCATTAAGGTTTGATTCACCTGTATAATACAGTCTTGATCTTTCACACCCATAGTAAACTTGTTACTTTACGGGTGAATTTTACTTGCAACTTTGCCTGTAGCATCAAGTGCCCATCAAGCCTGATCAGCGGTAACAGGTATTACTGGTAACAGCCCTTATTGATAGTGCTGTGTATATGTACAGTGTATGTCTCTTGGACAACCAACTACTGTACGCCACCCCTCAACCCCCATTTGCTAAAGGGCACATGTATGTTATATGTTTTCTATATACAAAATTCCCATTCTTTCTGGAACTGTGTGTTACCCTTGACATAAGCCTTACAGGTTTATCATTAAGGGACTGGGACAGCATTCAATCATGTACATACATGTACAGAGTTTATAAAAGGTGTGGTTACCTGTGATTCCCATTTCAGGAGATCCTTTACTTCCCTGGTAAGAAAAAGAATGAAAGAACAAAAAAAAGTTTGTTTTAGTAGGTTTGCTCTGATTGCCTAGTCTACTTGAGGTGTCAATTAATATGAATTCAACTGACTTTATGTGCAGCTTGTGTCTGTGATAAAAGAGCTAGATGTTCATATTGTCATGCTGATGCACCTATCTAGACTCAGTAATTTACAAATATGCATCATGCCTTTAAAGAAAATTTTGTAAAATTACTGCCATGCATTTTAAAGTAAATCTGTAAATAATTTTTTTAGAGATTTTATTTAAAAATTATAAGTTGTTTGAATATAATTAAAACATTATAAATAAAATTAATTACACTTGTTTTTGAAGATAATTTTTTAATGATCTGCTTAAAATAGAGAAAAGAGCTTCAAATTAAATTAAAATGTAACGTCAGGCACAATCATGTAAGATTCATCTCTTTTTAAAATTAAACCTTTAAATGAAGGAATCATCTTAAATAGAAAAGTTAATTCCAAAGTGATTTAAAGAATATGAAGATTCTAAATTAAAAATTGAATTTTCAATAAAGTTATACAAATTTGAATATCTTAAGCTAAAAATACATGTTTGTAAAATGTAACAATGTAAGCTTTGTTTAAAAATACTTAAACTTTCGAAATTATAAACCGTAATTGTATTGTTTACATGATTATGTTCATAACATGAAAATGCTTTGTTTACTTACAGAGAGGAAAGAGAGGAAAAATGAAGACGAGAAAAATAACTGTTATTGTTAGTACTGTTTGCACAAAACATTACTTCTTTATGTAAAGCGCCTAAAGTGATTTAAACAATTTAAATTTTTCCGAAGACTGATAAAGCTAATATAAAACTAGTCACTTTTCTGTATTTTTTGTTACTTTTTTCTTTTCGTAACTTAGTATGAAGTAGTGAGACATTCTTTATAGTATACAATTTTTCAGTTTAATAATTGTAACCATCATTACATGTATACTATTTATTATTAAATTACTTACTGCCTGCATGACTCAACCAATCTTGCCTTATTCACAAATGTTTACAGGCATCTAGGCTTGTTTGGTTTTGCCAAGGGTATTTTCTTTTTTTCCTCAACTTTTTTTTGCCAAAATACAAACCATGACTCAACCAAACTCTCATGATATACCGCCCTCCGTGAAGTGTACTTAACAGTTATAATAGGGCCATATTTGCTTTGTGGTGGTAAGTACAATATGTTGATGTCAAAGTTCTTTGCATAATGTTTTTGTTATATGTATTTCATGACAGGGCGATATAGCAACTTTGGAGTTGCTGTCACAGGCATTCCACCGTGGCGTCATCACTGGTATGGATGTGTGCATAAGGAAACCATTGATCGCGACTTGTGGTTTGGACAGATCAGTGAGGATATGGAACTACGAAGTTTGGTGAGGTTTTTATGTGGAAAATAGCTCAATTATTTTGTGACATTTTTCAGTGTAGTTTTGTCTGCAGTTGGTGTGCAATCTCTGCATGCAATATTGTCTCTTCTCAGAACTGTTGACAGATCTGTGTTATGCCTATGTTACATGTAGAATGTTCAAGTAAATTTAGCATCACATCTATTAATACGGTAGTTTACACTCTCCCCTAATTAACTGAAAGCCATTGCTTGGTCAACCACTACATGTACATGTGGCTGCAGTAGACAGTGTAATTCCTAGATTATCTCTCATTAATATTAGAGACAGAACTTGACAATATTTTTGAGGTGAATAATGAACCTCAGAAACATAAACTTGTACTTTACTTTTAGATTAACTAGTCTTGAATTAATTAATCAGGGAACCAGGAAGAACACAGTATCCTTCGTGAAAATTCTGCCCTTCATTGCATCTTGGAAAATCGCAAATAGAGAACTTGTTACAGTTTGCTCTTCATTCAATGATTCACGTATTTTTATAAATATCTTCCTCTTGGTCTTTTAGATGCATTTCATTTTTTTACAAGACAATCATAATTTAAGCACCGTTTTGACAAAACAATGCAGCAGAATTCTCATGATTAGTGCCTCTTTGGGAGACTGTACTGACCTAGTGAAGTTAGCCTGCGAGCAGGCTTACCTCTGAGTCACACGCACCATCAATCCGGTGGGAGAAGTCTGGTACAGAGACGCGTGTGCTCCCCAAATATGAGTCTGCTCGCAGGTTATAACGAAGTTAATTGTTGCCTTGCAGCTCACTGGAACAGTATAAAGAATTCCAAGAGGAGTGCTACAGCATAGCGCTTCATCCTTCAGGCTTGTACATCTTGGTTGGATTTAGTGACAAGTTACGGCTTATGAACCTGCTGATTGACGACATCAGGTCCTTCAAGGAATTTACCATCAGAGGCTGTAGAGAGGTTAGTGTGTCTACAGTACCGGTTAGTCGAGTTCTGGCCCATTCTCTGTCACACAACGCTACGCGCTTGAGGGATGGTCCCTCTGTCCCTCCCGAGAGAGTAGCGTTGCGTGACAGAGAGAGGGCCAGAACTGAACTACAGTAACGTGCGAACATCGCACGCGCGTCTTAAACGCAATTAACGTAAAAACAAATGTTCCATTGTGCGCTTTGTTTAACGCACTAGGTACATTCCCCCCGGGGGGAGGAGTTGACTCCCATATAAAAGGGCGGGGTTGCCTGTCCGAAATTTATGAAAATTACCCCTATGAGATACCAAGATCCTGTTTTGTGGGCGTGGCTTCAAATTTTTTTCACCCCTAAGAGGAACCAATTCTGAAACCACAAATTATTTCTTGTCATATTTTTTTGGGGCTCAATACTGTAAACGTACCACAAAAGCTCCCGCTGTGAACCTTTTGGGGCTGAAACCCTCAGAGATACCAAAACCGTTTTTTAACTCCTTTAAGTTACATGTACATGTACGACGGGCACCCCCACCGTTTTGTGTGGGAGTCGCCCTTGGGGGTACACGCGCGTTTTTGAACGCGTCAGCTATTTTTGGTCGTAGCCAATATTTCTGTTGTGACACAATATTTCAGTCAAATATAGGAAAACAGACTCGAACACGAGCAATAGCGTTATAAATCAATTTTGGTTGGCGGACATGTACAATGTATCTCTAAAGGATACCATACAAAACTAGTCTTGGTTAGGGGAGACGAAGCAAAAATGAGACAGAGATTTGTGAAGGTATCCATCATTTCATACATCAACGTACTATGAGATACATGCAGCCTGCGTTGCGAGGTTCTCGTACGAATGCAGAATTTTCTGCCTATTGGCCGGGGCGAAAATTCTGGCGTTGCAGAGCAAAATGAAATACGCAAATCAGTGCATTTTCACTTTTGTCGCAACCTACATGCAGGCTTGTAATCTGTAAAGCATCGTTGTTAAATCGATTTCAAGACTATTCAATCGTCTTGAGAGCGATTTAACAACGGTTCTTTGCTGCTAATCGAAAAATGATATACTGCCTGGCTGTACACTTTATTTACAGATTGTCACACGTTTTAAAACCTTCCCAAAGTCGCTTAGAATTCCTGTGTATTGTACTGTATGCTACTAAACGGGGTAAATGTTTCAAAACTCAACTTAGCGTTAAGGAAGGGCTAGGCCCGAAACGTCTGCTAGATACATCGTTTTTAATTTGGCACTGAGTTATTACTATTTACAACTTTTGAACTGTTTACTGTGCCACGCAGCAACTAATCCTTTTGGATTACAAATATTTGGATAAAGTGTTGTCGTTCTTGTTGTACATTACAAGTATCTATGGAATTTTACAAAGCAGTGTCAAGCTCAAGCAATAGAGTTGTTAGCAAAACTAAACTAAGACGTGAGCAATAAAACTGTGAGACTCGAAATTCAAATCAACACACTGTAGCGACACGAGCGCTTTTGAAAATTCGACCAATACGCAGTCTAGGCGCACTTGGATTCGCGCGCGCGGTTGATACTCGCGTGTTTTAAACACGAATTTTGGTTTACTTATCTCTAAGCGGAACTGTATCAACTTCTTTTGTGCAAACAGACAATGCAAAAGTGAGACAGGAAGTTATGGATGTAGACGTAAATTCACGCAGTAAGCGTTTTGTGGTTTGCTGCTTTTTGGCCGGGGCGAAAATCGTGGCTTCAGCGAGCAAAATGAAATTTGCAAAGACTTTCAGAATCGGTGCATTTTCACGTTTGTTGCAACTAGGCTTGTAATCGACAGAGCATCGTTGTTAAATTGATTTCAAGACCATTTAATAGTCTTGAAAGCGATTTAAAAACAACTCTTTGCTGCTGATCCGAAAACGGTATGCTGCCTTGCGGAACATTTTCGTAACAGATTGTCGCGCGTTTTAAAACCTTTTGGTACTTCAAGGTAAAGGTAAGCTAAAGTCTGCATACGAGCCAAGTGGCCCACCAGGCCGGAGCTTATCCCGGTTTCCTTAACATGAAGCGACTAGGAGTATTTCTACTCCCCCCTGGATGGGATGCTAGTCCATCGCAGGGTTACCCCCAGCATGAAATTCGGCGGTACCCATTTATACTCCTGGGTGGAGAGAGGCACTGTGAGAGTTAAGTGTCTTGCCCAAGAACACAACACAATGTCCCAGACCAGGGTTCGAACCCGGATCGCTCGATCCGGAGACGAGCGCACTAACCATGAGGCCATTGCGCCTCCACTTGGTACTTCAAGGCGATGTTATAAAGCTTAAAGAAGAGACTTTGCGCCTTGTTCTCAAAGAACTCGTGCGTATTGCAATGTTTTGCTGAAATTCAAAAAGTTTCATGAAGCATTGAAAAAGAGCCGCAGCTTACTTGTTTTTCTCTGTACTAAACTCCAATTTGATGGTTTAGCTTTCGGCTTGATCTTTCTCACCTTTTCTTTATTTGCGTGCAAGTATCACGTGTTAAATGACTTTAAGGGTTGTACTGAAAATTATTTGCTGACTTTTACTTTGCAGTGTTCGTTCAGTAATGGCGGTCATCTATTTGCCGCTGTGCATGGCAATGTTATTCAGCTGTACTCCTCAACAACATTCGAGAACGTTGGCAACCTCAAGGGACACAATGGAAAGGTATTTAATCACATTTTTTAACATGAAGAAATTAACGTTTCCTTCCCCTACTTCAGAGAAGTCAGGGACTGGATCCGAAAAATTCCATTTTAATGACGTAGCTCTTCGGAGATCCGTGCAGTGCCTCTGATTGGTTGTGCGTTACCACGCTACACGATTGGCTCAAACAACCCGCGCCACTTTTTCATCCAGTCAGAAGTAAAATCAAAATAATAATAATAATGGCATTTCGGGCAGTATATCCACAGGGTGGCTCTTCGCCTGCCCGATGCTAATTAAATTTACAATTAAAAGATATCTAAGATATCTAAGAATCGTCACTCGCTCGCATACGTTTTCCCGCCCTTTGCGTCAGCTACATGTATTGCTCCGAGTTTTGATTGGTTCTCTGGATTGTCTAGGTCGGTTGTGATTCGCTAGAGTGATTATTTTGATTTTAGTTTTACGACGCTCGATTGAAAATTGCTCTCAGCCAAATTAAGTTTCATAAGCGAAATTTAGCTGAATACGGACACCAAAGGCGCATACAGTAGTTTAGTGTTTATGTTATGGAGATGTCCATATTTTAGAGGTAGAGATTTTATCAATTCTGGTTTGTCTGTGACAAAGTGAAGTGTCCATAATTTAGAAGAGGCTGTATTAGTGAGATAACTGTCCTTAAAGGAGCTCAGTCGCAGTTTTTTCAGTTATTTTGGCCATGTGCAAAATTACCCTTAAATTGAAGGAAACCTGAAAATGGTACTTTCCTAAGAAAGGAAAACACCAAAGAGGTAATAATAAACCATAAAGGAACAAGGATGGTTAAGGATGGAGAAGATTAACACGGATTACAAACGAATAACTTGAAAAATGTAGGCTAACCTTTTCAAGAGTGTTTAAATCCAAATGCACAATGTACATGTAAACTCGTTCAGTTTCCCATCTCAATAGCTTTTCGAATTCAACAATGTTTATCTTGCTTATTATAAGAACTGTCATTTTAAGGTTCTTGTCAACTTTGAGCTCAATTTTGCAAATCACAAAATACCTTCAGATCGCTTGAATTTGTTCTGTATATATCGCCTAACTAATTCTTATGATCCATGGCTAATTTCATAGGTTCGCCAAGTGATCTGGAGCCAGGATGATAGTAAAATTATTTCCTGTGGTATGGACGGTGCAGTGTACGAGTGGAATGTGACCAGTTACAAGCGTGAAGGCGAGAGCGTGCTCAAGTCCTGTAGCTACACCAGCGTGGCGGTCTCCCCCGACAGTAGGACCACTTTTGCTGTGGGCTCGGATAGGACGCTCAAGGAGATTTGTGACTCGCAGGTAAATAAGTTAGTTTAAAGGAGCTCAGTCACGGTATTTTAAACAAAATTACCTTTAAACTTAAGTAAACTTGAAAATAGTAATTAACTACGATAGAAAAACACTTAAGAGATAATACTAAACCGTAAAGAAACAAGGATGGTCAAGGAATGAATGTGGAATACACACGAATTCATGTCTCCGTCATGCAGCTTAAAACTCACACTGTTACCCGGAACCCCTGATATGTTGGACCGTAAATTTGGTTTGATATTTTGCGGAAGAGGCTAGAAAAATTCAAGTCTTTGCCTAATTAGGGACGTCCAAGCTAAGCCTCTCAAAAGAAGGAGACCTATCTTGGGGCAAAATCATTTTTAAGTGACCGTTACAAGTATTGTGGTTTCAATAAGAGTAACATGTATGGATCAAGGCATGGTTGTTGTGAAAATTCCTAGTTGTTTTTGAGAGCTGTTTTTATAGGTCTGACCAAGTTAGCCTTGTACTTTCTCAGGGAAAAAAGAAAGAAAAAACTAGAGAAAAGCCTACTACTTTTGATCTAAATGCAAATCATGTTTGTCTTCAACAGATTCTGCGTGAAGTGCCAGCAAGTGACATCGTGTTGACGCAGTGCGTGATGTCACGTTCCGGTCGAATGCTCTTCGCTGGCACCAGCTCAGGGACCCTGCGCGCAATGAAATTTCCGCTGACCGTTCCTGGAGAGTGGCAGGAGCATCAGGTGCATTCCAAGCCCATCACCAAGGTAACCATTTCACAGGTTCTTTTACGAATAATCATGGTACTAGGTTTTTGTCCACTTGTTACTCGAATTTCTGGGGGATTCCGTCTTAAGCTCATTTCAAAGTGATGATGGAAGGAGATATCTCCTAAATAATTTCTTAAAACAAAATATTCGCCCTCAAGATTTTTTCCTGTCGTCTATTAGTGCTTATAACTTATTCAAGGTGCACTGTATCTTCATTTTCCAGATGCGCATGTCTTTTGACGATCAGTACCTGTTCACAGTGTCCGAGGACGCATGTTTGTTCATCTTCAAAGCCGTGGACAAGGAAGGCAGAGGAATGAAACGTGACAAGGAAGTGGGGTACGCCGAGGAGATCCTTATCACCAAATCAGACTTGGAAGAAAAGGTGAGGACGAAAAGATACGTGAACCTTTTCTGGTGTTGCAAGGACACTTTCATTCTGCACGCTTTGCGGACGTATCCTTGTGCATTGTCTGGCGTTTGCTGGTACTGACATGAGTATGGTGTCTTCGCGCAGCACAGATAAAATGATTCATTAGCTTTAGCAATAGTAATGACGAGTGCGCAGCCCGAGTTAACTATCACGCATAGAAATCGACAGCGAATAATCTCATTCTTTTAGTGTAAATCTACTAGTCGTTCAAAACTTTATGTAACTCCATTCACAGACACTTCGAAAACGCCAAAAAGCGGCTGTCATCTTATTAACAAGGGCACACTGCTACGCTACTCACTATCTATCACAGAATAGATAGTGAGTAGCGTAGACAATCAGAGAACGGCATTCGTGATAGAACGCTAGTAGATTAATACTAAAACCTGTTATAGGTTAAGGAGAAAACAGACTTTTGTCGCTTTTGGAATGTAAAGGGTAACCTTAAGTTTTTATTACTCTTTTAAAACAGAACTCCATGATGGCCGAGCTGAAAACACGCGTTGAAGAACTCAAAATGGAAAACGAGTATCAACTGCGACTCAAAGACATGAACTACAACGAGAAGATCAAAGAACTGACGGAGAAGTTCATACAAGAAATGGAATCGCTGAAAACTAAGAACCAAGTCCTGAAGACTGACAAGGACAAAGAAGAAGCGAAACACGAGGAGGAAATTGCTGACTTTTTGGAAAAACACGGCAAAGAGTTGCAAGACTTAGAGTCAGCGAACAACCAGAAACTCATGTCTGAATACGAGAAATATCAAGAACTACAGGCTAAGAGCCAGAAGATGCAAGAAGATTATGAGCGACAGTTGACGGAGATGGAGGAATCTAAAGAACAGGCGTTGGAGCAGCTGACCGAGTATTATGAGAATAAACTCGAGGAAAAAAGCGCCCAGCTGGAACAGGTAATGACCAAGTTTCCTTAAGCCTCCAGACTACCCCCCACCCCGCCCCCAAAAAAATAAAAACAATAAAAACAATTCCCCCTAGGAATAACCACTAAAATTAAGCCCTCTCTCCACAAAAATTATTTCCTTCCAACAGAGACAAGCCCCTACATCTTTGTCGCTACCATCTTCACAATCCCTTCCTTTCCTCCCGCCCTTTCTTCTGAATTGTCGGTTTATTTTAAGTGTCATCATTCGTCTTATCGAATTTCTCGTAAAGTGCACGCCGTATTGCGCACTATGTTTTATTCTCATTGTATAATCAATTCTTTTGACAAGCAAAACTACGGCCTGCAGGTGTTTGGAAACAGTTTTTAAGTCCGCGGTCAGTTCATTTCATGGACTGAATTTCGAGTGAGCCGAGTGAGCGACATTTTCTTTAAAGCCGTTGCTCAGCAACACGACCTTTCTGATGACGTCATGCTGACGCGACAACTTCCAAATTAAAGTATTTCCATTCTTGTTCCTCTGAGTAAAAAAAATTATATCAGGCGTTTGTTTATTTTTCGTGACATTTGCTGCCATTTTCCCACACAGTCACAAGACGAGTCTCGGCAGCAGCTACGAGAATACGAAGAAACAAAGAAACAAATTGAAGAAGACGCAGACCGTGAAATCCTGGACATCAAAAACAAGTACGAACGAAGGCTGAGAGAAGAAAAAGAGGCTAACCTGAGGCTGAAAGGCGAAACAGGGATTATGAGGAAAAAGGTAAACTGGATCTTTTGTAGTGTGGGTAAACGGACGGGATCATCACCCTTCTTTCCCTGCAGTACAGGGGAAGATAAAAAATCCGCGTGTTTTTTCCTTCCCCTCCCTCCTCCCCAATTTCTTTGCCCCACGCCTACTCCCTTGGCAGATTTTCCTTCGCCCAGACCGCCCACTTATTACCTGGTCTAAGATGGCGACCTTACGGAAAAAGGTGCACTTGCTTGCCTAAAATATGCCTGCATTGCCGGCTAGCTCATGTTCTGAACACGGACCGTAGAGAGACGTTCAAGATTCGACACCAAGTCTTCCATAATATGAGCCTTTGAGGACTCTGATTTGTAACAAAACGTCACAGGTGTTTCAACAGTTTTCCTGTTGACAGTTGTTGGGAAAGAACACTGTAGCTAACAAGATGTTGGAAGTGCGATCTAAACACCGCTTTACTGCTTTTTAGTGCAGAGTGCACTATTGGGATGGTTATGGGGGTTGCCTGCCGCTAAGGAACTAAGGCACTATGGC